TGTTCTCTATGAATGCCCTTCATTGTATTTCCGTGAAAGTAATTGAGCCTGGTGGACTTTGTCACAAAGATTAAAGGCTCAGAAATACTAATGAGCATCGATGTCAGACATGGTTGTTTGGGGCTGTCACGGTGTAATGACAGCCCCAAACAAATAGGAAATTGCTGTCTAAAAATGTTTTCTTTTTACATGTCTTGATGCCTGATTGGGCTTTTTTGTGTAAAGTGAACTGGCATGGGATCTTATGCCCAGAAACATTTCATGTATTTAGTATTACATAGTGTTAGTGCTTGGATCATGATTTGTAGGTACCTTTCATATCATATGAGCATTTTTATACTGCTGGTCTATCTGGAAACAATTCACATGATATACCAGGAGAGCATGCGAGGCAAAATACACCAAGGAACTGCAGGCTGTGAAAAAACGGATGTGAAATTGTTGTGACAAAAATACAAGTGCCTTAGAAAGTTATTTGTTAAATTTCCATGTACTGAAAACATGGTTTACAGGAACTTTACAACCTTTGTTTTGCTGACAGAGCATATGACAGAGAAGCTCAGAAAAACACATAAGCCTGTCATTCAGAAGTGTGGAAGGCGTGTTTAATTTCACAGCTGACGTGTTGAAGTGTGGAGTGAGTGAGAGGGTTCTCATCATTGATAGGTTTTGCAGGATACGAGCAGGTTCTGCGTACAGAGACAGGTGCTGAAACATTACAGCGTATTTCTACTCACCCAGAGGCGATAAGGGCACGCGACTGAGCCATGGCGATACGCTGCAGCGCCGGACGGCTCAGCCCTGCGAGGCTAGACCGAGGTGGCAGGGGCGCCGCGCAGGCAGCAGCCGCGGCAGCGCCGGATGAAGACACCGGACCCAGGACACGGGCAGAAGGTGATGGGGTGCAGGTGGATGTAGCTGTGGAGATGAGAGGTGGCCCTGAGGCAGGTGCTGCAGGGGCAGAACAGGAAATGGAGAGAGAGGAGACAGAGGTGGAAGGGTGAGGGGTGGAGGTGGTGGAAGATGATAGCGTAGTGGAGGGCGGGGGGGCGGTGGCAGCGGTGGTGGGAGAGGAGGAGGTGGGGGCCTTGTGGAGGAGATGGAGAGACCAGCTGTGGCTGACCCAAGAAGGGAAAGAGAATGGGTGAAGCCTCCTCCGTAGCCAAGGCTCGTAGTGCCAACGCTGCTAGCACCAACCATGCTCATACCTCCTGCACCTCCCATACCACCTATGTTGAATCCACCTGTCGCCCCAACCATGGATGTCCTGTGGGGGGAAAGCGACCTCGACAGGGTTGGAGGCCGAGGGAGGGTTAGTGAATAAGAGCCTCCTGGGATGGGGAGGCTGCTTAGTTTGGGACTTGGTGGTTTAGTCTGTGGTGGTCTTCGACCGAGAGTGTGAGCGGTCGACATAGTGCCTGCTTTGACACTTAGCACCAGCATACACTGCTGACAGGCGCATGGCTGTCCCAAGGAAGTGATGGCTGAAGCCGGGAGCGCCCCGCTGGGGTACGCACTCCCATTTCCAGTCCCACTGCTGCTCATCCGGATCCCCATGCCCACTCCAGATACATCAACACCTAGAAGTCCTCCGTGTCCAGGCATGGACGTTGGCCCCCAGGCATGGTGAGACTTGGGTAGTGGCCCAGATACCAGCGGGTAAGCCAGATCAGAACGGCGCTGGATGCGTCTGCAGCGCTGCGTTTGCCCATTGATTTGGGTCATACTTTCGAAGTCAATGAGGTAGCAGAAACCCAGCGGCGCCAGGTCCAGCCAGGGCTGCTGACGGTCGCGCGCTGCCTGGATTGCAATGCCCACCTCAGTGTCGTATGCCGTCCAGCTGCCAGCGTCGTTCTCCCACTCCCACAACCAGCCCTGGCCTGGCGCTGATGTGGGGTCGTAGAAGCTGCGTCGCACCGGTCTTAGGGTACCTGAAGAACACGCCACAATGGACTGAATTACTGAACAGTAAACTATATTAGTATACATTAAAAAGAAGACTTGTACTGTGAATATGAAGTTCTGTAGCGACTTTTCACTGAGTCTGCTCAACATGACGCCAGGCGATGAGAAGTAGACGCGAGACGAGGAATGCGACTGCACTACAATTTGCTGCGGAGAAGTAGATTACAACCATAACAAATTCTACATGTCTGTGTTTGCTTGCTAAGAATTTGGGCAAACAGGTTGCCCCTGGTAACAGCACATGGTGTTCTGAATTCCGATTGGCTGGCAGCCTTGATCCGACCCAAAGCTGACTGTGTTTGCTTTCCCTGGGTGTCTAGAGAAACTCCACAGAGTCTCTATACTGTAAAAGCTCCCCACATCAAATCCCGGCTTCCGATAGCACTGCATACGTTGCGTTAAGAAGGATGCTTCACACTTGAGCCTCTTCACTGGCAATAATAACAGGGAAAAACAGAAAACCGTACAAATTCTGTGAAATAACACTTTTCGCAACTGTGACTCTGGAGCTTTAACATTGCACACTACTAATGAACACACAAAACATAAAGCACTGTTGAGCACATGAGGCCTGCCACGCACAGACGCATAATAATATGGGCTCGTTCACGAATTCTGCTCCTGTCAACCCCATTTTTTCAGTGTCCTCGCACTCCTGAAATTCCTCTCCTCCTCTCTTGCTGCTACTGCTTTTCTTCCTCAGACTGGGGCACCCTGCCTGTCTCCCTCATTTCAGCCTGGTTTCGGGTTTAGAAAATAAACCAGACAAAAGCTTTTATCAGCCAGCGCTGAGAAAAGGCCAATGTTGGGGTGTCTGCCAAAAAGAGGGGAAAAAAAAGGGGGGGGGGTCTGACAATCCCCTTCTTTGTCTTATACCCCCTGTTGGCCTGCTCGGTGAAGTTGTGGCAGATCACCGCTTGTGTCTCCTGGAAGACAATACCGAGGGCCGTGTTTTGCAATGAAAACCTTCCCATGCATGGGCAAGCACACACTTCCTGCCAGGAATGACTCACTTCAGAGCTGACACCTTTCAAAATCCAACCTCTTCAATGCTGGAGTGCACAAATCTAGGGGCCGTGTGGAGGGGGGTGTCACTGAACTGGTGAAGATGGCAATTCAATGATTTGAGATTTTAAGATGAAAATGATTCAATTTATGTCACTGAGTGAGATCTTTAGACCACTAAACCCATCAGCTTCTGCATGATGATTATCAATAACAACCCGCCAGCATAAAAAAAAGAAAAAAAGGCCTCCACCTCAGGCTCAGCTTCAGCATTACACCCCCCCCACCACCACCACCGCTCTCTCTCTCTCTCTCTCTCAAACACACCCTCCCTCTCGCCCCTCTCCCCCCTCCCGTTTCTCACCTGTGTCCTGTCGGAACTGGTGCATGGAATGCAAATCGATGATGTAGGGCGAGAGGCGAGAGTCCACCTGGCCGAGGACGACACTACCACAGCGCGGGTCGCTCCGGATGACTGCCTCGATGTGATGACAGACAGCCGGGCTGTAGGGCCGCCAGCGTCCGTGCTCGTTCAGCCATTCCCATACCACTACGGCGGATGCTAGTAACATCCTACTCCTGAAAAGACAGAAAAACAAAAACAAAAACAAAAAATGACAATACCGAGGCACAAATGAAGGAGAAGCCGGGGCGACGGGTGTTTAAAGGTACCCCGCTGATGCCTCTCCGCCGCGCAGCCCTGCGCACAGCGGCGCTGCATCCATCTTGGACAGTTTGCAACCCAGATGTGTTTTCAGTGCTATCTGTGCTTCTAAGTGCATCTTTCGGGATGACAGCACATGCAATCCGTACCTTCCATGTTTGTAGTTTCGGAGGTGCAGCAATTATTAGGTCCTTTTATTGCACGGGGGAGATACAGAGCGTTTCGTGGAAGCAAAGACAGAACAGAAGCCTTCCAGGATGGTTGCATTTTACTCCCTATGCAGATGAGTGACGTCTACCGAAATCAATTCTCAGCCACAGTCAAGTTTGGGTGAGAGGAGAAAATGCAACTTGGATGCTCACGGTGGTGCGGCGGTGGTGAACTAGGTTACTGTCATGAACCGACTTTCATAGTAAACTGTAAGATTTAAAAAAATATATATAATCAGACAAAAAACGGAGGATTTTAAAAAAAAATAGATTTTTAATATTTACCCCGTTAAATCGTCTCCTCCTGTAAAAACAAACAAACAACAACACTGCTTTGTAGAGTAGTTTGTTTAGTATTGATCCACCAATATAACTGTAAGAATGAGGTAAAATCCCGTGTCCGTGTTACATAATCGCTCTAATAAATTTTCGGAACACTACGTTTGGAGTTAGCTTTACTTATTGGCTCATCCAAAATGCCTCCATCGACCAGCTCTCACTTAACTATCAGGTACTGGACGGGTGAAAATAAATCTTTGAGGCTCGCGTGTATGAACACCCCCACGCCTCCAAGGCATCCACCGTCCAATCACATTCGAGCACGGGCTGCTTTGGGCCAATCGCAAACCTACCTCACCTCGCGCACACATTGAGGTGACGGTGTTTGCTATATAGTTATGCCGTATTGCTTTAAATTTTTTTACCTCTTCTTCTGTGACTTCTGTGACAATATTGCACTTTATAACATTTACAACTTATACGGAAATAAAAGTTGAAAAAAAAATCTTTGGAGATGCCGGGGATTGAACCCGGGACCTCATACATGCGAAGCATGCGCTCTACCACTGAGCTACATCCCCATTGGCTGAATAATCAACAAGGAGAGGATTTATCTGTAACTCATGGCTGTACCGCTATTGTGGCTGATTTTGGTGTAATTACGACTTTAATATTGAAAGTTATATTGTTATTCATATGTAATGCATACAACAGGAAACTTGTGGCGTACCGCTAGCATGTTTTTTCTCTAAAACCCTAAAAACATAAAACACGGAAGAATTTTAGCTTCGTCATGCTATGATCACGTTATGTACACATGCTTCCGCTGATAGCATTACTGCATGTTTTATATATTTTTAAAGTATACAATTCATTCGTATTTTCAGTATGTGGTTTATTAAATTTTCAACCATTTACACACCATATAAAATGTAAAATGTCAGTTTGATCGGTTACATTCACTTGTTTTCAATAAAACAAATAACGCATTATTTTGTTCTCACTATATTTAATTACTACTCTTTTTTATTTCTACAAACGGCATAAAGAACAACAAAAAACAGAGCAGAAAACACTAAAAAAAGTTTCCAGTTTTCAATTTCTTATGTAGATTAAAATAAACATTTAAAGCAAAAAAGTATAGACAAGTATTGGTTTTTTTACACTTTACAGTTACAATCTAGAGTACCCCTGTATGTTTATATAACTGCTTTATTCATCAAAAAAATTTGACCAGAGGAAAGCAAGGTCAGTGAGGTCATGAAAGATTAAAGCTCTTTGGGTTTAATGGGTGGGTGCATGTATCTTTTATTTTATTTTATTTTTTTAGACTAATAGAAGGAATTTGCAGTGGGGAGACATTTAGGGGATGAAGCTGATGTTTGTGAAATCCTGATTTGGCAGTTTCCTCAGTCTTATTCATTATTTCTGATTCTCACAACGCCGTCACGTCACCTTTACCCTCACCACCTTCTTCAGACCAGATCGCACTTCCAGAGAACTGCTTTAGATCTATCAGCAATCCCGGCCCTCCACTTGCCTCAGCTTTACTCTGCTCTTCTCCCACTTTCTCCTCCTTTTCTTCACTTTTATCTTCCGTCTCTCCCTCTGGCTCAGACTCATCGTTAAGTTTGGTTTGCTCTCCTGCCTCTGAACTCCCAATACTTGAGTCATCATTTGAAGTATTACTTTCTTTCTCCTTAGCATTACCAGTGTCGTTGTCCTCCTCCTCTTCATCTCCCTCTGTGTCACTCTCCTGACTACCACCACTATCCACCTGTTCTTCTTCATCTTGGACTTCCTGCATTTCCTCCCCTTCCTCTTCTTCATCACTTCCAGGCCACAGCTGGACCCCAAGACGTGCCCCCACAGCTAACGCTGCACTTCTCGCCTGGTCCCTGAGACCTCCTTCCTTGTAGACGATGCGTCGGACTGTATATTCCCCTTCAGCCTCCCTGTTCAGCTTCTTGTACAGTACAAAGAGCACAACAAGGAGGAATAATAGGATGAACAAAAGGCCCAGCACCAATGGAGTGCTGTTTTGTTCAGAATCCCCCATCCCTGAAGGAAGGACAGAGAAGAGGTTCAGAATTAGTATGAACACACATGGGGAATCAGTTCATTTTCATAAATGTTTTGGTGATGTAGGATTTCAGAAAACACATGTTTACATTCTTGCCGAGTTAGATTAGAAAAATGACATTTTACATCATTCTCGTTTCATTTAATTGAAGCCTGAAATCTGATAGAGTAGCGAAATACGAAGGGTGCAGTACAAGGAAATCAGTCACAGGTGGACACAAGGGGCAAAGCTGATGTATAAATTCCTATATGATTTTTTTTCTTCATAAAACCCATTAGGCATTTGAAAACTCAAGATGGTCGTTGACATAGCCAAGTAAAATCTCTTTCAAGCAAGCCTTGCCTCTTTGAATGATCTTAATGTGAAATCATATGCATTCAATCAATAACTTGCCAACAGGGTGTGAGGTGTGATATATATTTATCTGGATTTGTATGTGAGCATTAAAATGTGTCTGTGGGTGGAGCTTTCAGTGGAAAGACTGCTCGGTCTAGCAGGAGCAAACCGTGGTCAAGTACTAACTAACCTTGTCCCTTTCATAGTCTAGCTTGTTTCGTTAAATGAGAGACCCATTGTAACGGATAGCTGCGCATTAATCACCTCACAGTAAACAGGTTCTGGGTCTGAATGTGTGCAGAACTGCTTGTCAGGTTAGCTGGTGGTTTAAAGTTGGATGAACATGTGTCATTGCAATTATTTCATTTTACAAAGGCGCTCCGAAGACATTTTTTAACTCATAAATTTGACTCTCTTATAGTCAAAAAGAGTCAAACCTGTGAACTTTATCCACCGGTTGAAATTCTGCAGTGAAACGGCCGAAAATGATGATCAAATTGCATAAATTAGAAATTTTCAAAATTCTAGAGTGACAAACACGCAATTTTTGGCACTTATATCCACTTTTGAAAGTTTGTTTCAGTCGTTTGCTGCATTACAGTTTGCTTCGGTCCCAAGAACACCAGCTAAGAATCATTCTGACACAACAAACTAAATCTGACAGTTGCGTTGTGGTGCAAATTAAAAAAAGAAATAGCAAGCAAGCAAGATTTACAGCTGCTTTAGGCCTTTTTTCAAACACAAAAGCTGTGTGTTTTTTTCTAACACTGCTTAGCAAAGCTAACTGTCTGCATCATCTTCATATTTCTACATATGACAGCAATATGATTTTTTTTTTTTATCAAACTCTTGGCAAGAAAGTCCTTAACACTGTTTATCACACACACACACAAAACAAGCACTTCTAAAAATAGGTACATTTTTAGCTTTAAGAGCAGCTTTCACTGTTTATTTTAGCAAGGGTGTGCCTTATCACTTAAAACAATGCAGTGTGTGCACTTGAGGGAACACAAAAGCAGAAAGCTGTTTCTCTCTTTGCACTTTTAAACAATGGAAACTGAGAGTCTGCCACAGACTTTGTGTAGGGCTTCTGAACTCATTGTCAGTCCACTTTTAACTCGTTGCAATGACACAAATCTGACTTTGCTACAATTAAATGTAATTAAAAATGTGCATTACCTCCTTAGGAAGAAGTTACAGTTGAATTAAAGAAAAAAAATTCCTGGATGGTTTGGAGTCTCAGTTACAGGCTGAACTTTACAGTCACAAACTCCTGGTGCTTTCAAAGCAGCTGTGAACTTGTCATCAGGAGATCCATTGGTGAATTTTATACTCAGGATCTAAACATGAAATTAAAAAAGAGGTAAATTGACAAAGTTAAGGCATGCACAACACTGCACAAAAACGGCAGTGGTACTACTGAAATGACCTATCATCTGAACAGCAAGTGCACAATATTGCACGATTTATGATGAAGCATCACTAATTGTAGCTTTCTAAATCGAGAGGAAACATTGATGCATTGCTCAGCGTTAACCTGAAACTTTTTCTCCATATACAAATGTGTTCTTTGCACATTAAAATTTAGAAAGTTTTTTTTTAAATCAATCTTTACCAAAACATAACACAGGCTCACAGGTTATAGTTATATACATACTCACACTGGAGATGTTACAGGAAGTCTGCCCTTGTTAAACTCTAAATTGTGTTCACTAGGATGACAGGAAGCTTTGCAGACCGCTCAGAGCGTTTGCTGGTTTCCTGTCAAAATGATAATTGAACAGCATCAGTCAGCCCGCCATGGGTGGAAACTTTTTCACTCGTAGTTCATCAGACCGAGAGCCGACATCAACTATTGCAAAATTAATCAAGAACTAAAGCAGGTCCACTTACAAAGAGCAATTAAAGCCAAAATGGATCAGAATAACTGATCTAAGTTGCAAATTATTGCCTGAGGTGCTGTAATTGTACCTCAAATGTAGCTTAGCATAGATTAAATAAATGCTTCAAGTACTTCAAAATCCAAAGTATTAAAAATCACAACAGGGGAAAAGCAGACAAAGCAGTTTCAGTGTAAAAGATGTGCGCAGCAAAAATGAGCTTAAGAGAAAAACAGGAAAGACATTTTTTTTAAAAAACCCGAAAAACTTACCAAAGTTGTGAGTGAGAGATACTGTTTGTGTTGCTGGAGAGCGAAGAATGGCAAAGAGGCTGACTTGTGTCATTTAGGGTGTGTTAGAACGAGTGCGTAGAAAAAGAAGAAGAAGAAAAAAAGTGAGAGAGAGAGACAGCAGGGGGGTGATGCATGACATGTGATGCAGAAAGTGCTCGCTGAAGCCCTCCGAGGAGGTGGTGAGAGCAGAGATTAAAGAGAGACTTTGACGGGGTGTGGTGATGAGCACAGATAAGGAAACACACAATTATTTATGGAAAGAGGAAGGTGCAAATTTGAATTTGTTCCTTGCGAGGTTGACAAGTCACTTGGAAACTGCAGGTGTGAAGTCTGTGAAGTACACGTGCAGAACATGCATGTCTCATTACTTGTTGCACAGGTCTGTGAATGAACTTATATATATAGTTTTCATTTTTTTTTCAGTTGGAAGTTTGTTAATTTGGTTTGGTTTTGCTTTATTGGACATATAAACCAACAAAACAAGTCTGGTGGTGTACATGAACCCGAAGGCAGCCTAAGAGCTAAACCCTGATCTATATTTCTTTTTAATCAACCCCCAAACGAAGGACTTAATTACATATTACAACAGTGATATCTGAACCTATCAAAAGAGTGCATCATGTTCAAAAAGCTGTGCTGAATATGAAACCACTTTGCCACATCCTGTTTTTGCTCCACCAGCCTGCCTTCCACAGCCCCTACACCCAACAAAGACAGCTAAACCAAATCTGTACAGTAATACTGCACTGTACTACACTCTAAAGCCAGCCTACATCTGTTTCCTATTTCACTTTTCTATTATCTTTCTATCTTATTATGCACCTGATATTTTTTGGCCGTTAACCCTGAAAATCCATATCTATACAACTCTAATCATAACTCTGTTGTTTTGGGTTTTTTGAGGGGGAGGTTAAGCACTCTTGTGTTGTTTACATAATTCAGTGATCTACTGTTCTAACCTTGGGTTATTAACACTTTGAGCTGTTGTGTTTCAGAATGGTACTAAAGCTCCACATTGTTACTTTTACGCTGACTTGAGAGGAGGAACTGGGTGGCCTCTTTTTAGGCTTTTGCATGGTTGATTGGGTTTGATTTTCATTCTAAAAAGATCACAGGTTGTTCTGTTATTCTTTTTATTGTTGTTATAAGCCTTTCTAACAAGCCTCCAGCTGCTTTCTAGTACAAATCAGATAAAATGGCCTTTGCTGGGTGTGAGGAATTTTAATTGATCTGACGAGCAGTCAAGTACAACACGTTAAACTGTTTTGTTTGTGTTTTGTGCATCTGCTTAAATGCACAAAGCAGCAGGCGATGGCACGGTTACCAAACCCAAATACCATAGTCTCTTGGCCATTTATTAGGTACACGTCGCTAATACTGGATTGGATCCCCTTTTTGCATTGCGAACTGCTTTAATTCTTCATGGCACATATTCATCAAGGTGCTGGAAACATTCCTCACAGATTTTGGTCCTTGATGTTCATCTTGTGTCAGGGGTGGATCTAGAGAAACCTTCTTAGGATGGCATGAAAATCAAATGGGGTGGCAAAAACACACACACACACACACACACACACACACACACACACACACACGCAGGTGTTACATATGGTTAAAATGATTCAAATGGATGAAGTATACACACCATGGGGTGGCTCATTCACAAACACAAGTCTAACTTAAGTTTCACACATAAAATCTGAAATGACTATGGTGTTGATTTAAAATGTGCTTTGGCACATCACTTGCTACTGACAACAAGAAAAAAAGCCGGTCTGTGCTATGGGTTGAACCATTTGTAAACAGTGGGTGGGAGGGGGGTAACACTATGCAATATATTCAGTTTTAGAATGTGTATTTCAGGGTTAACTGTAGCTAGGCTCAAAGTGTTAATGCTGTCTTATTTTAATAAACAACACTGTCATATGCAAAACTAGGGTGGCAAGGGATCAGTTTAGGGTGGAACATGCCACCTTGAAACCTTTGAGAACACATCTCAAAGGTGTTCTGTTGAATTGAGATTTAAAGACTGTGGAAGCCATCTGAGTACACTGAACTCACTGTCATGTTCAAGAAACCAGTCTGAGGTCATTTGAGCTTTGTGAAATAGTGCGTTATCCCACTAGGGATAGTGTACTAGGCAGAAGATGGGTGCACTGTAACAATGCCTGGTTGGTGCTAAGGAACCCAAAGTGTGGTAAGAAAATATCCCAAACAGAACTGTTGAAACAAGGGAGCTGTCGCGCTGTTTATGCTAAAAGACTAGCATCTGAATGCTGCAGTAGAAATCGAGACTCATAATATCCGGCAACATTTTTCCAGTCTTCTGTCCAACTTTGGTCTGTGTAAGCTGTAAGCCTCAGTTTCCTGTTCTTAGCTGACAGGAAGTGTCACTCAGTGTGGTCTTCTGCTACTATAACCCCCATGTGTTGTGCATTCAGAGACGCTCTCCTGCACACTTTGGTTGCAATGAATAGTAATTTGAGCTACTGTCTGGCCATTCTCCTCTGACATTTTCACCCACAGAACTGCTGCTCACTCAGTATTTTCTCATTTTCAGACCACTCTCTGTTGGTAGAATGTGATCACACATACACACCGTGATCTGACTACTTCATATGAAAAAGGCCAATTCACATAAAGTAAGAATTAATGTTTATTGAACTTTCACAATGTAGTCTGATTAAAACTGCTACTTTTTTTTTTTTTTTTTTTTTTACAGTCAATGTTACATCAGTGCATAAAGAAATAAATAAAGTAATAAAGGGGTAGTCTTTATGTGGAATGTACCAATGTTATTCTACATTTGTAAGAAGAACAGATTAATAACAGATCAATGCCTCTAAATGTAAATGTCAAATGTAATAGCAAAAAACACAAAACTACACGAATCTAAAAGTGCTTTTTCATCAACACAAATACAAGCGCAAAAACGTAGAAAAGCCTCCACACTTGAACCTTTTTCTTGCTGCTACCAAATCTGGTCTGCAATCCGGAGTAGATTTGGAACAGTGTAGTCAGACTTAGCTGCACGGTCACTGTAGTGTAAGGTTGAATATTTAAAAGAAGAAAAAAAAGGTTCCCGTCCCATGCCCAGTCTGCAGGTCTTTCATATCATTGGAAGCAACAACTACAAAATGTGACATTTGCTGCTCAGATCCTGATTGGTTCTCGAGTGGTCGTGTGACACTGCGGCATTTCCGCGTGCTTCAAAAAGAAAAGAAAAAAAGAAATTCTGTGTTGTGTTTATGACAGGTTACAGTGTAACATAGTGTTATCTTTACGCTGTTCTCGTCTGACAACATGAGGTACAAAATCACAAGTGTCACCTTCTCACTGATTGCAAACACTACACACAGCTACGAATACACATAAATATTCAGCTACGCTCTCATCGGCCATCATTCACACAGCTCTCGCTGCCGAGGACAGTTAACTTTACACGTGGTGTTCTATTATGGAGTAGTAAAACAAAGCACGAGTCACGCAGTGAGATAACAACCGGGGGTTTGATATGAAATCACAGTTTAGCAGCTTAATCTACCTGATTAAATAGCCCTAATGGTTACATTTGTTAGTGCGTCAGAGAGAAAAACGTACAGGAGGTACTTAATAGCTTTGTTATAGACTGTCAGCCTTCGTTAGCTCCAATATAATCCTTTTCAACACAACTTTGTGCGTCAAATTGAGGCAACTGTGCCGATGCAACTCCTTTAGGGTGCTTCGAAATTAAAGCAAAGATCAAAACTGCATTATATGCACCGTCACACAGCGGCAACGATATCCTTTACCCAGTTGTCACCCACATATTGTGGTCTTGGAAACAATAGCTGTAAGCTCCTATTTATTCACAATTAGTTGCTGCTCTACACTACATTCTTCAGCCCACACTGCTTAAGGTACTGTTGACTCTAGTAAGGCTATGGTCTATGGATTTAAGGGGAAAAAAAAAAAGCCATCTGAATGTAGTGAATCTTCCGCTTGCTCATACATCCCCATCTTCAATCCGTGCTAGCTGTCTCTCCAGCAACTCAATTCTCTGATTCTGAGCAAGCACGACGGCCCGCAGAGCTTTCATTTCTGCTAACAGCTCGCTCAACACGTCATCCTGAAAGAAGAGAGAGAGAGAGAGAAAAAACAAGTCAAAAATAGCTTCAAAAAATCTTAAATCAGCATCTCACTTGCTGCTGACCGACCTCTCTCTTTGGCCTATCGCCGTTTCCATCCGTCTCCCTCGTGGCCGCTGTCGGCTGTGGCGTCTCTTCTTCTGTCTCCTTGGCGGCAGAGGTAGGTGTGGACGTGGGAGCTGCTACGTTCCCTGCGGAAGGTGGGACGGCCCCGGTCCCAGAGTCCTGAGAGACGAGCTTGGGCTTGCTTCTGAGAGTGTCTCTGTATTTGGATGGAGGAGCTGTGTAGCCACCACTCAGGGAGACCAGCAGCGGTGGCGCGTCCTGCCCCGCGATCCACTCGTCAGCCAGGAGGGCTGGCTCCAGGCCGGCTGTGTCTGGGTAAAGGTCTCCCTGGAACAGATCTGACTGGAGAGGAAATATGGAAACTTCATTAGCTATTAAAAAAAAGCAGTTTATAAAGTCCACTTTTAAAGTATGTGTGTGCCTTACCTTTCTTGGTACAGTCATAGAAATGGGTTCCACCTTCCTCTCATGAAGCTTATAAAACCTGCCGAAAAAGCAAGGACAAAGTCCCGTCTGACGTTATTCTGCATTATTCTTTCCCACTTTTAGGAGACTGGTCAGTTCCTGAAGTAGCTGTGTATTGTAGTTTTTACTAGTTACGGGTACGCATACTGTTCTTACCTGGCAATTTCACACTTATTGACATCCACACCTCTTTTACTCTGAAAGCCTGCACCCCTCTGAGGCTCTTTGCTGCTGTATAAGCTGAGGAAGTGAACGTACGGTGATTCATCAGTCACTTCAAAGTATCGGATGGTGCAGTCCCCCTGAAAGCCATGAGATTAACAACAAAAAAACAAAACAATCACGATGATTGACGCTGCATAGAACAAGCTAAATTTCTATTTGCCACATGATGCCAAGGCTTCACCTTCCCACACAGGTAGACCATGTTTGTGTCGGGGTCATAAAAGGGCAGCAGAACTCCATTACTCGTATCCATTTCCTGTATTACCATTGGCTCTGAGAGGTCTTTC